CCATGGACTTTGTGGTCCAGATAATTCGAATATCAAGCTTATTTTCCGGCAGTTTTTAACGAGGCTAATACAATACACATAACCGACATAAACATGAAACTAAATATCCTCAAACGTGAAAAATCTGCTTTTTATGCAGAAAAAACAAAGATCGCTAGATTTTCTGTCTTTATCTAGTTTATTTCAGATAAAGTCTGCTTTGCGTCCACCTTCTTACATAAACATAGGATTTGAGCTAGAATCATGAAATGGTGACTGGATTATCAGTTCAGAAAAATATTTTTGAATAGGAGGTGCTGTAAGTGCTTATTGGAAACTTTCTTAAACATACTCGGGCGCTGTATAAAATGTCTTGTACTGATATATCTTCCCAGTACCGGGTGAAATAAGGTTAAGTTTGCCATTTCGTTTTGATTCGGTCACCTGATCATTGAATTTAATGTTTTGATTAGAACTGGTAAACAGAAGAGCCGGAATCGAGAAACTTGATAAGGCGACAGACTGAACATCAAACTGAGGAAATTGTAACTAGAATAGTGCCGTAATCAAATTAATAACAAGAGCAAGATGTTGACGTTGAGACGGTTATTGTGAATTCTACAAAAAAGTCTAATTTGCGTGTAAACTTCGGACAATATTTGGAGAGAGGAGCGAGAGACAAGCTTATAGTCTGAGTTTCTCTCGGTAAAAAACAGGTTAATAATACATGGTTGCTCACCTTTGACGAAAGATGGACAGTTTTCTAATCATGTTGTTTACATATAGTCGATAAATGTCATTAAATTCCTCAAGAGGAATTCCAGTTAGTGAACAAAATCTTCGAGGTGTGGATGTGAGTTCAGCATATAAGTCACGAATAACAGCTTGTTTAAATCGATCCATAGGCATCATCAGCTGATAATTGAACAAACGTGGTAAAATAGGCAGAAGACACAATATTTGTTCACATTGTACCAAAATTATAGCTATTTTTCTTCGGTCATTCTCCAATTCATGTTGATTGGCTAATCTGTATAAAGTATTTACAACTTGTACAACATCAGTGCACATATTAGTCAAAATTCGTAAAGTTATTTGTCGATGTGCATTCATTTTTAAGGCAAAAGAAGGAAGAAAATGGGGTTTAGTAGTCTAAAGTAAAAAATAAACACAACGTCTGCTTATTTTGCTTTATTTTCGCGGTTTTTTGTATTGTTTTATATTCTCTTAGATTAAATAATCATGATATTAATGTTGTTTGACTGGTAACACATGAGCAAAAATATGTCATTTAGAACGTATCGTTTGATTGACGACTGTGAACGAGAAATAGTGAAATTATTGGCCGCCAAAGTGGGAAAAAACTTCGTTTAATAGTTCAGACGATAATCGAAGATGACTATGGGCAAATCAGTGAACATTATGAAAAAATCAAAGAGCGTACTGTTGTTGAACGAATAAACGAGATATTATCGACTGCTGCTAGAAATGCTGTTTAGAAGATTTATTATGAGTGATTTATCTAATTATGAAAGTCTTTTTATATTTCTAGGGTTGCTAACGCAAGAGTAAATAATTCTTGCAATTTTGAACCTTTACCGACAGATACGATGGATTATGTGTCATATTCAGATAAAACTAGTTTTTCTCAACAACACGTCAATGATTATCAAACACCACCTTTTCGCGGTACAGGTCGTTTCGTCTTATCAAAAACTCATAGATGACATCAAATATGTCTAGTATTTCCGTGAGTTCACCTTCGTATTTGTCACCACCATCACCCAGCAGTCAACACCATCAGCAAGTTCGTAGTTTTTTTAACTTGACAGCTGTTGTGGACTGGTGTGAAACGTTTGCATAGCTGAAAATCTGCTGCTATGATTTTTAATAAAAATTTTAAAGTTAATAAAATTATTTTTTACTCAAACTGAATCCATGTAGGCTTAATCTATGACTTTTATGCAAGAGGCAGAACTATTACGTTATTCGTATTTCTGTGTTGGGAAAGGTTTTTCTGAGATCTGTTGTTTATTTTAGGAACATCAATCCGGAAGATTATCAATCGATTTTTCGTCTCCTCCTCTTTCTCCATTAAATGATAAATATTCTGAACGTCCGGTAACAAAAAAGGTTCCCAAAACTGCAATATCCACAAATGATCCAGTTGTATCAGGTACGAACATTAGCGATACTGAAGGACAGATAAATTCAACACTTTTGGAATGTACCGATACCAATATTGTTTGTCTTGAAGAATCATCAACACAACCACCAGTAGATCGAAAACCATTTGGAACAGTTTCTGCGTCAGATCCTCCTCGTCTTTATACGGAACATCAATTACAACAGCTGTTAAGTAGGTTAATTAAATAAAATAATAGTTAAATAATTCAAATGATGTGATACAGACACCTCTACGTACCGAAAACAGAAGCAACACGCTACCATTCACTGCAACACCCCCATTAGCTTCAGTTCGAAACAATGATCGGTCGCGAAGCCCGCATCCTTTTCCACGCTGCACTGGTACGGACAGTAGACGATCTGTTTCATCAACGTACACTTCTCCAACGACCACCCCAGTACATCATAGTTCTGATCGAAAAAGAACATCGGTTTCGAACACCTGTCCGACATCATCACGTGGATTCCATCAATCATCGCATTAGCAACAAATTCACGTGAAAGACCAAGTACAATTCGAGATGTGACAAATTTCGACCGAGAAGATTTCGAAACATATGGAGAACCGAGGCGAAGAATGCCCCCAATTACGGCTCAAACGGCTGAAGTTTTGACTGAAGCTGGTCATCTGATTCAACGAATGCACAAAACTATGGATGAAGAATTTGGTCTGGATCGTAATTAGAAGAGGATACAGGAGAAGGATATAAAAGTACAATTTCCTTCTAAACTAAAGTGACATGGATAGTTATGACGAATTGTCGAAACAACAACAACACAAGAAGAACGATTGTGAACTACAGAATCGGGTACAATTTAGAATATATCAGACAGAAATAGGTTTCACAGGCATAAAGATTGTTGTTTACGCAGCAATGAAAACAAATAGATAACAACAGAACAAACAAATAGAGCTTACTTAGAGTACCACCTCATAGGATAATTGTGATGAATCGCCTTAGGGGCAAAATAGAAAATGGTAAGCGCAAAAATGGCGAAAAACTAAAATAACAAATGTGAGAATGGTGCCAGTTTAAGTATAAAGTTAAGGAAGTGTCAAATAGGTAAGCTCAATAGGGCTTAGTATGAACAAAACTTTAGGATCATCTAGAGTGCGAAAAAATTCATTTGTTTTCAAGTCTTGCTGGTCAAGTTAAGTTAACATTATATATATGTATATCCATGTGTATATTCTCTCGAAGTAGACAACGAGTAACACAATCTTTTTTTAAAGTTGCTTTTTCTGGTTTGCTTTACTGCTATTATTATTACAATTATACTGTGGTTTTCTTTTCAGCTGAAACAAATTTTCTAAACATTCTTACCTGTGATAATGTACAAATAGATAATAAATAGTAAAAAGACAAATACTTGCATGCGACAAATACTCACAATGTAAAGGATTTTTATTCCTTGACATACTTGACATACAACAGATGTCAGTATAATGCACGCTACACTCGTCATTGTAAATGACGATTCCGTGGAATACAGGTTTCAGTCTATTCTGATATGACAGTTTAGAGAGCGTGCGGTATGTAATTCAATCTACTACACATATTAAACTATCTTCCCGACCTTTGGCGAATACTTAACACTACATATTTTATACACTCATAGCTTTTTCTTTCTAACAAGAAATTAATGAATTCAATTTCATATTGATGGAAGAAAATAGAATACTCGTGACCTAAAAAGGACCTTTTCAGCTATCTATTAATAGTTTGGTTTGTACACATGAAAATGCGTGTTAAAGCCAAAATATTAAGGTATACATTTTGTAGAAGTTAATTGGACACGAGAAAAGGTTTTATAACTTTACAAGAAAGAGATGCAAAAGTTCTTAGCTTTCCAAAAATCAAAATACAGACAAGTTCCTCTACGGTCACCCTGTACAGACATTGATGAGAAAAGATTGTAGAATGCTGTAGGATAGACATGGGAGACAAAATGCTGCCAGACCTCGTAGGAAAAAACTTGCGGATTGAACAAATCAAAAAGTCTGGAGATGTTTCTTAACTTTACGCAGGATTATTTTCCACGCTACTGCTCCGCAAAAATCGTAGGATCCTCTTGAGGATGGCAAGGAAAAGAATCCTGCGTAAAGGTAAGCCTCCCCCCGGAATTTTTGACATACACAACACAGGAGTTTCCTACGCAAAAGTCTACAGGAATATTAAAGTTTTTTTCAGTGAATATAGCCAACTGAGCCACGCTGCTCTAATTCATTCATACTACATATCGGTTGTTTTAAGGTCGGTCTTCTGGCGGAATCTCACTTAAGGGGGAGGGGCCATCTTCCACCAAACATACCCTCAAACGTGGCTGCCTTGCATAGGATACCTTCAATGATATGCCTATCGAATAAAACAATAAGAAATAGAAAAAAATAAAATTCCGCCGGAGGCTAAGATGGTCGGTGCTGTGGCGGAAGCTCTCTTAATAATGATTTCTGAAGACGAGATCTGAAGCCATCAAGTGATTTCTGAAGAAGATTTTCAGAAGGTCTAAAATCTGATCTCTTTGAGATTCTGATAATTCAATGAAATATCAGGAGCAAAAAGGATTTTAATGATGCTAGTATCCATTTCAAAATATACAAACCGTGGCTGTTTTTTGAATGTCTTTCGACAGCAAGCAGCTAGAGAGCTCCGGTTTTCGCCATAAGAAAGAAGAGACTTGGAGACATGCTTTCACAAGCAAATTATTTTCAGGAGAGTTTTCTGAAACAGGTTTTCCAGGAGATCTCTGGAAACCGACGTTGTGTGTAAAAGTTTTCTAATACGATTGTACTGGTTTTTTCGATGGGGTAGTAGCCTCGGATTTTCTCTTCAAAACGGGAGCCAAGCGAGACCTTGATTCTCCGGGACTCGTGTGTTGTATCAGTTTTCCTACAAGGCACAGGACTGACACTCGATGACTACTGGTAGCCTTGAAAACAGATGGATTATAGGTAATCGATCATGCTGAGTCTCGTGGCAATATTTGTTTTTAGAGAAAGTTTTAAAGATGTAGCAAAAACCAAGCTTTACGACCATTTGGGTTTTCAGGCTGTTTTCACCTAATATTTAAAAATTCACTACTCATTCAAAAAACACACCCCTTAAACTAAAACAGTTTCTTTCAAATATTTATTTTTAGAAATGAAAGATGTCGTTTAAAATGGTTCTATAAATTCTGTAGTATTTATCGTAAAATATCGAAAGTTAAAACAAGAATGATACTAATAGAGTAGAATTTTCTCTTTGATATGAGACGCGTCCGAACTCTTTACAAATGAACCGCGAAATAAAATTCGTCTAAACTTTTGTCTTCGTCTAAGCTTTTTCACACTAAACTGAAGTGAATATCGTTTTGCGACATAATGGTTCCGAATATCAAGGTCTCGTGGCTTAAAAATTTGTGTACAGAAACACTAGATAGTAGTTTCATACACATAAATATAGTTTTAAGATTATCGTAACTCTTCTAAGTTTTTGATAAAGTATTTGAGACTATTAATTTATACGAAACGCAGTACATCCCACTAAAAGCCAAATCAAACAGACTGAAATTTCCAAGATACAATTAAATTACTGGTTTGGAAGCAATACAATGAACGGTGAAAAAACAGTAAAATATTGCACATGTTGAAGGTTGAAAAACTATCATACTTTTGTTTCGAGATTCAAGCAGTTTCAGGCAAAGATTTTGGAACTGCGTAGAAGTGTAAATGTAAATCTGTCGAAGCCAGAATCAAATTAGATTCAAAATCCATATAGACGGAGAAACGTAACTTTGAGAGACTGATAATTTACACCATCTGGCTTGATTTTTTCACTGTTTTTTCATCTTGATCTACCGGCCAAGAAAAAAAAAGTGCTTCTTTTCCTGATTCTAAGGCGTTGTTTTTCGGCAGTTTTTCCTTGCCTTAAATACACTGCAAAAGAATTGTAATCAATAATTATTCATTCAAAATAAATTTGTATAGTGGTTTTTTGAAATACACTTAGAATACAGTAGTCATTTGAATAGAGTCTGTGCATGTGCTCTATTCAGAGTCTGTGTGTGTGTGTGTACTCTATTATAATCACCACTGTATTCTAAATGTATTTCCAAAAGCCACTATTCAGATTTATTTTGAATGGCTAATTATTGATTACAATTCTTTTGCAGTGTATTTAAGGCAAGGAAAAACTATCGAAAAGAAACGCCTAAGGTCGTAGCAACAGCATCCGTTGGCCGTTAGATCATCTTGATTAAAGCCTGGAATAGTGGATACTCCCTAATAACTGAAAAATCTATCTTTTTGTTTTTCAACAGAAAGCTCTTAAAAACTGTATGAAATGAAAGACAGGAGAACGGAATAGAACGGTAACTATAGAGAAGTAAGTATTCAATACAGATTCTTCTATTCTACTACTCTTCTTTTTTGTGTTTGGTTTCTTTACGCCTTCAAATTCTGTTGTAATAGTATGAGAATGTTACCGATGAAACAGTAGCACGTGTAGAAGAAAAATAATCTTTTAATAAACTTCGGATGGTGAAAACCGCAGATCATCATCTGCTTTCATTTCAAAGTGATCCAGAAATTATATTTTATTTAAGATTTTAGTCTATAATACACACTCTAATCTTTAGTTCTATATCTTTCGATATCACTATCCATTTCAGCTAAACGAGCTTCAAGCTCATTTGGCAGTTTAGAATATATTATTGATTCATTGTCACTCGAACAAGATGTCATAAATGGGAATCGTAAACAACCATATGGATTTGTTGATAATAAGGGTAATTGAGTATTATCGTTTATCTCTTCTTCAACATCGTTATCAGTATCATCGGCTGCATCAAATGAATTACTAATCGACAGTGATGATGATGATAATGATAATGATAGCGATGGTGATTGTTTTGTTTCCGATATTGTACTATTACAACTGGATGAATATTGCAAAGCAATGGATAATGATAATTCGGATAAATTTTTCATGGACGGAGCTTCAGAACTTGAACTTTCTTGTTCTGCATGTAAATGTTCAGATAGATTATGTTCACTTTTGTGTTTGTTACACATTGTTGATAGTGTTACGTCACCCAAGATAACTTCACGTGAACTATTCGATGTATTTATTAATCTAAAATATATAACATGAAAAATAATTTATGATACTTTCGCATTCATTCGTATTACCCCTCATTGTGTTTGTATAAGAACGTTGATGTTAATTGTACTGCTAATGGTAGAAATGCTAGAGTAGCATTTTTTGGTACTAATTCCATCTCTTCGATTCGACGTTCCAAACGATGAACTTGAGTATTGAGCTATAATAAAAATAATGAAAATAAAACTATTACTTGAAATGAATTAATATTTGATTCGTTTTTTTTCTTCTAATATACTTGAGTGAGTTCAGTTTTTAATTCTCTATTTTGTATTTGAGCATAACGATATTCTTCAAAATGATTGACACCAATTGCAAATCGTCGTGTACGCGCTTCCATTACCAAATTATTTGATACAATTTCTTTTCCCAAATTTCGTTTATTTTTAATTTTGTATACCTTTAATAAAGACAAAACACATATGTTCTAATTATTCATTCAATAGATAGATTAAACAAACCTTTGGTAGAAATACTAGACATAAAATTGATGTTGTCGCAATTATAATTGATAATGAAATACAAACATAGACCAATTGACGATTTAAACTACGTGTAAATTCAAGCATAATAACAGAAAATACACTTGTTATAAGAACAATATAAATTGACCAACCAATATAACGCGAATCATTTAATGCTGTTATATGAACATGTTTTGTTTTAAATGCTAAATATCCACCAAAAAATAAAAATATTGATTTATAGATATAAATAAGAATAAATATTTCACGACGATAGTGTGATTCACAATAATATATTTCATTAAAGAGGATTGTATCAACATCCAACATACCACCCTAAATCGAAAATAATATTAAAATAAAAATATATTAAATTTTAATATATGACAGTCATTTTTACCTCTTCAATCGATTTATGGACGGTATATGGATTGAATATTTGCCATAATAGACAATAGAATAAATCAATGAAATACAATATTGAACATATCAAAACGAGATGTCGATCTTGTAATAACTAAACAAATATTATCAATTTTAACTAACTAATGAATATAAAATATATAAATATTACCTTTGAATGCAATAATGGTTCACCAGTTGAAGTAAATATTCGATAAACACGAAGTGTCTTTAAAAACATTGAACCAAATGTTAAGGAAAAACCAGTGGTAAATAAAAATGTTCGAAGCTAAAACGAAAAATAAAACAAAAATTCAAGAAAGTATTCTGAAATTGTGATGAATTATCTAGGAAAAAGAGTATTGCAATTTGAATTAAGCGTAAATAGGCTGAAATTTTTTTATCAGTATAACGCACCATGCAAGCGTACCCCAATAGTTTTCTTTCCATGAACCATTCTTCAATACCCAATAATAATATTGCCAAATAAATATGAACACAGCCAATAACCAGTACGTTGTTTAAATTTGGACTGGATAATTTGATATATCTTAAATATTAATAATATATTCAATATTATATACGTCTATATGAGCTTGTTTTTTCTTACCTTTCATGCCGATATTTTACGGTAAATGATACAAAAAAAATTGACAACATTATACCACCAAGTGATCCACAAACAATAATAATCATTTGAACTGAACCTAAACATTGTCTTCTATATTCAATGATTTGTTGATCAATTGGCATTTTATCTAAATAAAAGAATTTAAAAAATTAAAATATTTTAAATTAATAATTATGTTCAACATACCATGCCAAATTAATCGTCCACATTCGCGACAATGAAAATTTAGCATATTTGTTACATCGCTATATTCCGCTATACGTTTAATTGTACCATTTTGTAATTGTGATATTAATGTCTGAGCTTTTCGATTTTGATCTTCGAAAGATATGGGACCCTTTTATAAACAATAAAAAAAACTATAAAAATGAGAGTTCATGGCACGTTTCTATTTCCTGGAAATTTAATTTCTTCCCCCAAAACTTTTATTTTAAAAGCTACGGATTAGGTAAGGTAAGGCTAGGGACATGATAGAGTACGGTAAGAATATCCCATGCCGATGATTACGAAGTCAAGTTCCTCGAAGATCCTATCGGATCTGGCGTCGGAACATGTCCGAATCGGACAAAATCTGGCACAATCCTACCCGAACAATGCCGTATTATGTCGGAATCCGCTGCGCCGGATTCCGACGCCGGAATTCCGTGCCGGAAGATATCGGTAAAGATCCGACTACATCCTTCGAGTTCCAGACATCGGATTTCGCTGAAATTGACAGAATGTGTCTGGTTTTCAGGTGTTTGAAGGCTAACAATAGCCTTAGGTTTTTATTTCCTATGCTTTTTCGTTCATTTTCTAGTAGCTCCTGTCTCTGCGCATTCGAGAGAGTGTAAGAGCCCACTAGCTATGGCGTGTATAACACGTCTGTTAGCCAGTGTGAGCGATGACTCACACTGTTAAGAATTTGAGAAGTAGATTCTCCTGATTTCCATTTTCTGCAATGTCATATTTAAAGTACTGAATGAATATACTATGCATACAGAAAAGGAAGAAAAAAACTTAAGGTGCGTACCACAGGATCTGTCGATTTGCAGTATCCGGAAATTAAAGGATCCTTCTGGTTCCGGATATCGGATTCGATCTTCATATCCTCCACGATTCAGATATTGGGAAGCGAAAGAATTGAGCGGATTCCGGTCTCCGAATCCGATTGACCGTCTGAACTCTGAAAATCACTAGAATTAAAAGTATCCTACAGGATCCGATAGGGAAAATTCGATCTGGGAATATACAGTCATATCGTAGACCATCTTAGGTGAGATAAGGTCGGAAAATTTAAACGTTACCTAAATGTATTAGGTAACGCTTTCAAACGTTACTTAATACTTAGGTTACGTTGGGTAAGTGGAGTCAGGATATATCAGTCATACATACAATATACCTCATATTAGTAGCGGTCCACTCTCACACTGCTATGCTACTTCCTCTTACCTCCTTAGTGTTGATAGTAGCTCTCTGTCACATATATGTGATAGACCATTTTAGGTTAGGTAAGATGGAAATTTATTTAAACTTTCCTGACCTCACCTAACCTAACCTAAGCTTGTTGGGTGAAGCGTAGTATACATGAGTGATTCTGATAAAAGCAGTACTATTCGTGTTCAATAATTTGACCGAAAGAAAAAACAAACGCTTGGGTAGTTTAATATCATATGTCAATAGTGGGTATCTAGTAGTACCAGAAAAAGGATGTTTGCAAACTACCACTTCTTTGTGTCATGGATTTTTCAAAAAATTGGATTTTGAATGCAAGGAGATAAGGTCTTCTCTGTTGGTTTTCATGTACAAATAACTGGGATTATTCTAAAAGTAGATAATTATAGATGAAAACGTATGCTCCATCTACTGGTATACTCAAAAACTGAATCACAAAACTTCCAGTATCGGAGTTTTCTGGGTTTCTAGAACCCCTTTTTTCAGTCATCGAAACGCCGTATACGCACATTCTTAAATTCTCCATGTTGTAAAACCTTTATACTAAAAGTTTGGCTTTGTTCGCGCGTATTACGTTAAAGTTACAAAGAAAAAAAATGGTTACGGAACATTTCCTGTTTAAATAATAATTTAAATAAGTAAATTTTAGTCCTCATCATTTTTACAGGATCATTATGTGGTTAGACTACACTTATGGTAAACAAAAAATTTTTTATCGTGTTCAGTTGAGACGTGATATAGTGAGTGATTACGGGACAAATTATCGGTCAGACCTCACCTAGCGTTAGCAAAGCTTGAATTACACGGTAGCGAAAAGTGATAGAAACATCGAGTTTTGGCTGTTATCTATTCTACATATTTAGTGAACATTTGACATAATGAAAATGAAGACTAAATAAATTCTCAGGGCTATGCGGTCACAAACAAAACAACAAAACGGGACAAAACAAAACTGGATTTTGGAACCATGAATTCTGAACAAATTTGAGAAAAAACCCGAAATACTGGGAACAAAAACAACGGTGCAGCCGAATAGAGCGAAGAAAATTCTAGAAAAAAGAGGGAAAAATATATCGTTACTCTATCCAAAAGTGAATTTTCAGGATATTCTACTTTATACTTATTCAGTTTGAATTTTCACAAAATAGGAAAAATGACTGTAGGGAAAAAAACATAATAATTCTTTTACCGAAACTCCATTGAAATTGAGTGTACGTAAAGTTTTTAAAAATATTTCAGTCATTATTCTGTTTCGATAATCAAATTTTTCTAGAGGAATACTAAAATAAAAACAAAGATTTTTATACGTAATTTAAATAAAGATTATATATACCCTCGTTCAATTGACTTTTTAACAATGTAAGCAACAGTCCAAACAACATCATACGCTTGAGTTATATAATAATTGTATTGATTATGACTTGTTGAATGATTATCAGTTTTAGCCAACCGATCGTAAAATTGCGCAGTTGTCTATAAATGATGATATATATATTAATTTAAGAAAATAAACACGTTACTATTATCGATCCGGAAACCCAGTATCATCGGTTGCTTTTTGAATAACTTTTGATAGAAATATGATAAAACCTGCGGTTTTCAGTTTTGGAAATTAGACATTTGAAGCTACATTTAAATCGATATTTGAAAAAGTTTCCAAAGCCAGCTTTTCAGAGAATCTTCGGAAAACCAGTTGGGATCTCTGAAATCGGACACAGAAATAGATCAATTATTTTGATAGATATATAGTCCGAAGTGTCCACTACAAAACTGCATCTAAGCGACATCTTGAAAATCCATGATTCGGGAGCTATAAACATTTTTCCTGAAGCCTCAGCACTCCTCTACCATTAGATTTGGAACTATCAGAATGAATGAAAAGATAGGTTATCGACTATGCTGAATGTCGTGACAATGTTAGTTTTCAGAACAGAATGCAAGAACCGAGTGAAACCATTTCAGCAGCAACCAGAATATCAAGATATACTCTATTTTATCGGCTCATTCTGATTCTGTACTTAAAATCATTAAAAAAATGTTCTCTTATTTCCGAAGATTTCTGCGAAACCTTTCTAGAAGTCAAAGTATTTTCTGTTGGTTTACATTTATTGAGCTTTATGATATGCTGCGGATAAGATATAGTATATCCTGACATTCTGAAGTAGATTGAATGGATTTTGACTGAGTTATGAATATCTTAATTTTTGATGAAAATAATCAAAAATGGGTTATTTCACCTAGTATATGTTTTCACTCGATTCTTGCATTTTGTTCTGAAAACTAACATTGTCACGACATTCAGCATAGTCGAT